CTAAAAGCAATCTACCACATAGCTATCTTCGCTTCCATGTAAAGAGCACATTTTCTTGCCTACAGAAACTCTGCCTTAGATTGTAGCTGAAATATTAATTTACCCATGAAGTTTCTAATATCCTCAGTCAGAATGAATTTTTTCTTTTCTCCCCTTTCAGCAGTTACTTTATCCCTCTGTTAAATCACTTGGCATATTCCGACTGGTTTTAGGGGTGTGTCTATATGTGGGCACACATGCATGCAGTTCCCACAGACTGGGAATTCTTTGAGGGTAGGGCTTACATCTTACTCATCTTCTTGTCTAAACAATTAACACAGTACCTTGCTGAAAGTAAATGGCCAATTCATGTCTGTCGGATTGCATTCTCTGTCCTCTGACCCATTATGCTAACTGTTCTGGCTCAAGCAGATTCTCAATTCCCTCGATTGTGGGCAACTCAGCTAATAGACATGAAAACCCACAGATTGTAGAAAAAGATAAGACCAAACACACAGATTGTTTGAGTCTTGGAAAGGACGTATTACAGATGGACTTGATATTGGTAAAACACCAAATAACATAAGAATGTGTTAGAATGGATGAACTCTGCCTAGCAAATAAACAGAGTTACTTTACCCTCCTAGTTAGTCATAGGCCTATCAGTCCTGGCCCAGGCCGGGGCTGGAAGCTGCAGGCTCCTCAGGTCATAGGACAGAACCATATGACCAGAGAGCCCAGATGGGGCTTTTGTGAAGGTATTTCAGACAGTCCAAAATTACCCGGCTTATAGAACAGACAAGATGTGCCCCACTTGGGAGAGTTCCAGTTTTCCCATCTTGAGAGAAAGAGAAGGCAGAGGCAATGGTAGAAAGTTGATCTTATCACGAGCCATCATGGATGCTCTTCTTCTTTTGGGGAAGAAAGGGAGCCCTCAAGCAGAGGCCCCAGACAGCCAAGCCAGAACAGGCTCTTGGTGTTAAACCCAGCACTTACCACTATAACACTTCTTAGTAAACATCTCTTATGTTTAAACTCTGGGACAACTCGGGTTAATGACATGGTGGGGAGAGGGTGGTTGGTACAAGGTGAAGAGGAGACAAGACTAAGATGAGTAAGAGACCATTCTTATCGTTCAAGTTGGATATATTCCAGGGAAAGATTGACATGTCCACACTAGAAAGGGAAGTGGTTTGTGTGGGCTGAATGTCAAGTTTAGGCAATTTCTAACTTCTACATTTAGTCCTAAGCTCTTTTCTCTTCAGTTATTTGCTCCTCTGTCAGTAAGGGGCCCCCAGAAGCAGGTATAACAAGCACACAAACGACAAAGTTACTGCTTTTAATAAGTGTATAAACATCTTTTGGAGAAAAAAATGACTCTGTGAAACAAGATCATATAAAACAGTCTTAAGTGCCATGTTATAAGATAGAAATACTATGTGTAACTATAAAATTTTACTATAAAGAAAACTTGGTGTTGGCTTGAGTAATGGAAGATGTCATGGAGAAGAGAGGACGTGAGGTGGACCTTGAAGAAAGCGAGGGCTTATAGCGAAGACCCCAAAGTCAGCCAACCAATCAGCATCATAGTCATACTGTGTAAAGTCCTTTCTGTGGCCATGTGACCATTGGTTCTTAAGAAGCCTTGTGTATTCACAAATTTTGATAAAATATGGATTCCAATGGGGTGGTTGGGCAGAAGGGAGTTAGGAACTAGAAAGTTTCAGAAACCCATTTATTTTTCCTGCAGGAAATTCATTGTTAAGAGTTTTATAACAAACTAAAATAATCTAATGTTACAGACAATGAGAGGAATAGCGCATTAAGACCAGAACAAAATCAATGAATTGGTAGATCATTGTTATTTATACTCATTTTGGGGGGGCAAAATTCCAAATTGATGTAACCTATGTAAAGAACACACACGGCAACAACTCAAGATGACAGCAACCTGGAGCAGAGCCCCCACGTCTCGGCCGGCTTCTGGCCACTCTGACACGGAGGCGGTGGGTCCCTGGACAGCTGTTTTTCTCAGAGACACCACGTCAGTCACCTGACCGAACTCACATTCCAACCAACAGGCATGGAATAAAATTAATGCAATTAATTAATGAAATTATATCAAATTCTCATTGCAAAAACTTAAGCCGTAGGGAAAATGCCATGTTTGAAAGGCAATCTTAACCTTAGCAGACTCCCAAGACTTTCAAACATATCACCTTGTCGGATGCCACTCAGATGCCTGCAGGTGGTAGGCAGACTTCCCAGATGGCCCCACGGTGATACCTGCCGTCTGGCGTCCACACTTTATGTAACCGCCCCCCACCCTTGACTGTGGCCTGGATCTATAGACTTGCCTCTAACCAATAAAATATGGCAGAAGTAATGGGATGTCACTGAGGGAGAGCAAAGTTTTGCCACCTTCAGACATGCCTTTTGGGATATTGACTTTAAGCTGGTTATTTTAAGAATCAAAAGATTCAGAAATAACTTCTGACGCTCCTTCTTACCTGCCTAAATAAATTTAGAATGGAAAAAAAAACCTGATAGCTTAAAAGAAGGAAGCTATCATCTTAACATAATATGAGCTAAGTGTGGCATTGGGACAATTGAGTAATTTGGGTTTGTTAGACTCCCCTTGGGTCCATTGTTTCTGAGTGGCCCAGTAAGAATTTGTCTATCGAATGTTCGCTCCTTCTCATCTATCTATGAACTGCCTACATTCCCTTTGAAGTCCCAGATCCCTGCCTCTGCTGAGTCCAGAATGGAATATAATCCTTAACTGACCAACGTGTCCTTGGGTCCCGTATTCTTAGGGAATCTCCATGTGTACATACATAATAAATTTGGTTATTTTCTCCTGTTAATCTATCTAATGTCAATTTGATTATTAGGTTAGCCAAAAGAACTTAGGAAAATTATTTTTTCCACTCTTACTGGTGGAAAATTGTGGGCAGGCAAATAATGGTAAATAAGGGGTAGTTAGGTGTGTTACATAGATTCCTCTGGTGTGTGATAGAAACCTAGAGTTGTCTCCAGTGATTAACTTCTGTCCTTCTTGGTAGAGAGAGGAGACAGGACACCTTTATAAATTTATGTGCTGCTTTTAGCGGGATGATGGAGAGCTTTCATTGTATCTGCTTCTTTTTTATTGCCTTCAACTCAAAATAATCCTTAGGCTGAAGTGAAATACTTCATAGTATTTCACTATGGGGTGGCATATTCTGTTACCCTTCAATGGCAACAGGGAAGCAACATATTCTGCAATGTGGTAGGAGTTAGTGACAGCCCCACTTTACAACCACTCGAGTGTGGCTCAGAGACAGAAGATAACTAGTGCTCAGAAGCACAGAGTGGCCGGGCCAGGACAATTGTGATTCTCAGCTGGGTGATGTGTCAGTGACCCCTCAAACCATGCTCTTCTTTCCACATGAGGGTGACACGTATGGACTGTCCAACAACATCAATTTCTCTTGTCACTTCTTTTTCCTCTCTACCTGCTAGTGCTCAGCCCAAGCCGACTGCCACAGAGAACATCCTTTTTCTGTCCCACATTATAATCTATAATTGTAAGGAGTATTAAAAGGTTCTGGGATGCTGTGTTTGGGTCAGGCTCACCTCACTTTGGTTGTGCTGTCAGGAGATAGGGGGCTGGAGGGTTTCCAGGTCACAGGTCTGGCATCAGGCACACCTTGTGCTGTGAATGCCTGCCCTCAGGGTCCGTGTGTTGTGGCTGTAAGGAACAACTTCAAAGACTATGGAGGTCCTATGGAGGAAAAGGGATGGCATGGTTGCTCTCTGAGTGAGAGAGAAGGCTCTGGCCCCTGCCTGGACAGGTTTTTATTGTTTTTCTGGGTGTATTACATCAGGGATGGTTGTCATTTACTATGCACAGGTTCACTGTAGGTGATTGCTTTTACAGATAACAAAGGAAAAAATGTTGCTAATTACTTCAAAGATAAGGATGTTGCAGATCAGCAGGAAAAGTCTTTGAACTGGTTACACTCCATACTTGCAAGGTTTAGCACAGATTTTAGGAAGTTACTTTAGAGATATGCAGTAAACATTTTCTGCTTCAATTCAGGGTGAGGGAGCTTTAGCAAAAGCAAGCCTCAAAGCAGCCTAGGTACAACACAGGCCTGATTCTCCATGGAAAAATGTATCTGTAGGCGTGGGTCCTGTGTACTGACCTTGCTCCCCATAGGTTTTTCAAATCAAAGGCTGGGCTGCATTCCCCACACCACGGGGAATGATTCCCTATAATTTTGGGCTCAGATCTTAGTCACAGCACTTAACAATAGTTTGAAATATTACTAAACACCTCTGTACACCAGTTTCCACATATGATAAGCAGAAATAATTAAAAATATCTCAAAGTGTTATGAAGATTTTTGGGTAACACATAAAGCCCTGATACACAAATACTCAAATGTTAATCTTCCCTTGCTCCTTCTGTCCATAATGTAGCCAAAGGTGCTCATGTACGTAGTTTCTCTAGGAAGAACATGCTTATTGGACAAGCTTAGCATTTTTAAAGTTATAATTTTCTAAAATTTAACTTTCCTTCTAAGTTCAACTTTATTCCTAAGTACCCAGTTTCTCAAAGCCATTGAAACTGGATAAATAACTAATGAGCCAAAATCTCTAATATTCCAGGAGTGTGCAGTGGTAAATCCTATGGAAAATAAGATCTTGCTTTAGAGATAAGTATAGAATATACTGATTAAGAATATGGGCTCAGACTCAAGGATGGAGAGCAGATGGCTGGTGTGGGTGGGGCTTAGGAGGTGGAGGGACTGAGCAAAAAGGAAAAGGGCCTCATGGACATGGTGGCAGTGTGGTGACGGCTGGGGAAAGGGTAGAAGGGGACTAAATGGCAATGGAAAAAATACAATGAAGATTACATTTAAAAAAAACTTTAACAAAGAAAATGGTCTCTAAAGTCAGCTTCTTGGATTGAATTCTCTCTGCAAAATTCAGCTTTGTGGCCTTGAACACTGTCATTTGAAAAATAAATTTAAGTGCTCACTTCGGCAGCACATACACTAAAATTGGAACAATACAGAGAAGGTTAGCATGGTCCCTGAGCATGGATGACATAAACAATAAATTTAAGAATGGTGTTTATTCATAGGGGTGTGTGGTGAGGATTAAATGAATTCAACCTTGTTATGTGTTGTTGAAAAGCAAAATTCAACTGAGTAAATTTTAAAAATCTTAATGGCTTTCTTTAATGATTCATGAACGAGGCTGCATCCATTCTAGTGAATAGAAAGGTGCTCTGGGAAGCTGTACAAAATGCGAGAGTTTTACAGGTAGAACAGAACAGGAAAAAGAAACATTAGGCAAAAAGCAAGTTGCTTATTTCAAATTTACTTTTCTGAGGGCATAGAGGAGATCTATCAGGCAGATGATGTAATTAGTGCTCAAGTGACTTCTGATTGACTGGTTCAAGTACATTTTGGGGACAGCTGCAACTGTAATGAAGTCTTAGTTTGGTGGCATGGGCCTTAGCATAAGTGACTCCATTTTGGGCCTGTTGTCTTGTTGTTCATAGCATTTAGTACAGGATCTTCAACACAGAAAGTATTTGATACATAGTAAGTCTTCTTAGTTGCACTAAGGATTTTGGAGGAGGGGATAAACAACTAAGTTCTGACTTTAACAAAAAGCCCACTTGTGAAGAGAAGTTTAGTTTTGTTTTAAGTTTATTTTCAATTATATTTGACATACAATATTATATTAGTTTCAGGTGTATGACATAGTGATTACACATTTATATACATTGCAAAGCGATCACCCCAATAAATCTAGTATCGAGAGAAGTTTAGTTTTATAAGATGTATTCAGGGTATATCTTTTACTCTATCTCATGGAGATAAATTCATTTATTCAGGCAGACTTTAATGGACCTAGCTACTGAAGGGAAGATGCTATGGGATTAATTACCCATTAAATCACACCTTATTTTGAATAGATTTAAGAGGTGAATTTATTCAAAACCCTACCCATAAGCTTCTAAGTCCTAAGTAACTAACCAAACTCAACATAAAGCAAAGAAGTTGTAAGGTCCAATTTGTGAAAGATTGCTCTTTTCCAGTTTTCCTCGGTTTCTGAGAGACATGAGACGCTCTGATAAAGGTATCAATATTTTGTGTATGATGAAAAGGACATATTGAGTTATTTCTCTCAATCCCACCAACTATGGATTCTGAGGTTGTCGAAGGAAGGAATCCTGTAGCTTTTCCTGAGATGCAGGGCCTGCTCAGAAAGGAGAGTTTAAAATAGGTCTGTAGCTCAGTCTCCTTTGTCAATAGCCGGCCCCAGGCCTTGGGAACTTTCTCACTGCAGTTTGCAAATGTCTGTTCTTGGAGGAAGCCTGTGGTTTCTTTTGTCCTTGAACCTCAGGAGGCCTGATAGGGAAGCTGGAGTGTCATCTTTTACTTTTCTAGTTTCCAAGCAGGAATGTGATGGGTAATTTTTCAGATGATATCCACTGCAAATATTCAGAATTTAACTTATTCTTCCAGGTACAAATAAATTACAATGTTTTCCTACAAACCCATCATTCAAGCAGTTCAGTGGAAACCCAGAGGTTTGCCCTGGGTCGAAGTCTGGGTTTCTGCAGGGTCTGAATGAGAGTTTCTGGTCCTCGTTTACGTCAACCTCCACCCTCCTACTCTGCCATCCACATTTCATTCCTCTTTACTGACTTTCTACAAATCCTGTGGAAGTGATCAAATCAACCTATTATTTTCACTCTGACCTTAAATGACTTGAAATTATAGACTTTTTCTTCCAAATTGTTTCGTATGTGTGTTTTCCTCTGCCTAAGAGCTTAGGAAGTATACTTATGGAAGAAGAGAAAAATCTATCTCCCATCAGTGGACTCAGTTTCAAGATATAGGATACCATCTTCTGCAACATAGATCATCCCTAAAAGAGTCATTTGGGGGACTCATTGAGTTATTCCTTTCAGTGTGGGGGGGCTGGTTGGTCTCTGAAGTGAGTAGTCTTGGTAGCCTGCCCAGACTTCTGTGGTTTGGGGATCACAGTCGGAACTTAATTGTTGGGTGAGACTCAGAGTTTCTGTAAATTGGTCCTGACCCTTGACTTGGCTGAGCCATCTGGCTGGACCAGTGTGTTGCAGACGAATAGCAGTAGTCACATGGCAGTAAGTCATGTTGGAAGATGTTTCCTGTGGGTAGTTCTCTGTGGATCTCTTATGTTCTTGTGACTTGTGAGTAGGCACCAACAGCCTTTGTTGTTGGTCTGGACTAACTTTTCAAGAATATTTGTATCACTAGTAGCCTCGGAAGAAGATAATAGTGTCTGTTTACGGAACAGAGGGCAAATCTGTGTGCGCTCCAGTATAATAGTGTTCTCTAACCCTCTCTGAGGCAAAAGTTAGGAAAGTTTGCTTATAGCCCATTTAAAAAGTTGGGTTTCTGAAGCTTTCAATTCTTAAGCCGCGATGCCAACCCACTCCATATATAGCATGCACCAGGCCCACCCTCATTGCCACAGTAAGATTTAGAGGAATAAAGGGGCTGATGTGAATATGAAAAATTCAGTCTGCCTATGGTACTGGAAGTGATAGAGTCCTTTGTCTCTAACCTAGAGTCTCATGTCTTTTGCCATCATCCACAAAACCGGGGCAAGCTACGTTGTTAGCCCGCATGAAGGGCAGAAATCTCAGACTTTCCGAGTTCTCAACAGGCAGGATGTTGGGGCAAAGCCTCAGCCTGCAGCAGGGTCATCACAAGGGTGCCTGTGAAAAACACACCTAGAGTTAGCCACTGTCTCAGGAGAATGGAATTAATAATTTCCCCACTGCCTGTTAGATATTGATTAAAAAAACACCTGACAGGTTCCTCTCAAATCACTCAAGAATCATTGTCCATGGAAATGATTGCACAGGGAGCCTATAATGTTATTTGCAGTATATAAAAGTTGAAAAACATAGGGACATAAAAGATGTAATTATATTCTAAGCTCAAATTCCTTTTGGACTCAATTTTTCTTCCACTTCCATTCAAAATTTAGATGATCAGATAAACATATAAGGTGACCAATAAGATGTACATACATTTGCCTTTTTGTTTTTCATGTAAGATGAAAAGATAAATTGAATTGAGCATGGGCTGAAGATCTATTAAAAACAGATTTCCCATTTTAACCAAAGATTGTTCCCTACTAACTCTGAGCCCAGGAGAAATCCTCTGTAAAACTTTTCATTAGTCATGAGGGTGTAAAAATGTTGCCTTGATAGTGCCAGTACTTACTTCAGGATTCATGATTACAGGCTTGTTTGATTTTTTCCCCATCTGGCTCCCCTTGTATTATAAGACTACCTACCATTTTTTCTTAAGCTGGTAGGTTAGGAGTCAGCATGTTCTTATTTATTTTTAGAATTGGAGGAACTTGTGATCAGAAACCTTTTTTTTAAAATGGATTTTTTTTTTCATTTTTGCAACCTAACTTCCTCCTTGGGTCTGGTGTGGCACAGTCTGTTTTCTAACACCCATTTCCTCCCCTTCTGCATTACACAGCGTGTGACTGCGGGACTCTGACCAATAAATGTCAAGCGACTGATAATCTATTATATCAGTTATTTCAGATCAAACTTAAAACTACCTAGGTAGTGCCTTCACAATACAGCTGACATGAAAATGCTAATGGCTTTTAAAATATACATATATATTTATTTACATGTCAAACATTTTGTAAGCAATGTCTCATTGAACAGTTAAAATGTAATAAAACACCCAGTTATTAGGAATCAAATAACTATAAAAGCAACTCAATTGTCAAAACCAAGAATTATGAGTATCACAAATTATGTGCTGTGCTGGGTTAGGTCTAAAGTCCTGTGTGGATGTTGCTCACCCTAATATTTCCTCCAAGGCTAAGTGTAGCAACTTAGGCCAAACTGTGGAGCTTAACTTGGTTGGCACACAGAGCAAGGATTGAGGCATTTGATACTTGGAATTTATATTGGTAGAAGAAAGGTCACAGGAAATTACATTTCTCAGCCAATTTTTGCACATCTTAATTATATAAAAAATAATTTAAAGTAATTTTTTAAATAAGAAAAGGAGTGGTTTAAAAAGAGTATATTCTCTCTATAACAATGTCAATGTCAAAGTACAAAAGAATATGATGTACAAGCCTCTTTTTCCCCATAGCACCTTCTATAATCCAGGCTGCAGATTTCTCCTCCTATGTCTTGTAGGACTGGTTGGTGTTTGTTTTATTATTTCAAAGCTCTGAGGTGTTTTGAAAATCACTAGTTCTATTTCCTTATTTTATAGGTGGTGAAAGGAAGGCCCAGAGAGATAAAATTAACCCAGTCAAAGTGATTGAAGAACAGGAAAGAATAGTGTAAAATTACACTCCTAGAAAAAAATCTTCCTTCATAATTAATTTGAAAGTCCCATGTCTAATCTGGAACTAAACATATTCTGTAAAAGAAAATTTCTTGAATACCATGGATAATGTATTCTAATATCTAACAACCTTTCTAGTCAGAAGTGTCATTCTTGAGTGTAATAACCTCTTTTCATGCAAATTAAGCTTATTTCCACTTGTTAGATGCTTAATAGAGATGGATGATAGGCACTTCAATAATTACAATCACACATATGTATTAAAATATTTTTCTGTTAACTTATTGTCCATTATTTTCTTTGCACACATTACAGAATCCAACACCTCTAATTTTTTAACGTAAACCTTTGCTTCCCTTCCCCAATTCCTAAGCCAGAACTCTGGATATCATGGTCCACTACTCTACTTATTTTTTGCCTTCACTCCTTTTACTTACCAAGGTGTTTTTTCATTTTACTTCCTAAATAAATAGCCCTTGACTCTCCCAACCCCAATGTTACCACCATAATTTATGCCACTGTCATTCCTCATCTGAGTTATCACAACATTTTACCTGATCCATTACTCAACAATTACTGTGACAACAGCAACCCCCACATTTTAGTTGCTCTTGTTACATGAGTTCTACAAGCTGACCTTGAGCTTGGCTTGGCTTGGCTTGGCTAAGCATAATTGGGCTCCATGCATCTTCCCCTTCTGGGACCTACATGAAGGAGCAGTTCCTCTCTGTGGTTCACT